ACATAGCAACATTCAATCCATTCCGTTCGAAGAAAAACATAACCGACCATGCGCCCTACGATCAATGTGAATCGGCGGTCAGGAAACGTGTCGCACAAAACACAGGGTCCCGAACTGAGGACTAAACCGCTGCAAGTGGGACTTGGTCCCCGGTGTCAGACTAGACACAAGATTGAATTTACCTGGGCTGGTTAGTCCGATGACAATACCTCAACGCCATCGCCCTTTGAAAAAAAAAAAAAAAAACAATCAAGTAAATAAATGAGTAAACATTAAAACACACAAGAGGGCCAGCGAAAACAGGATCTCATTCTCTTCCTCTCTGTTTTGTTTGGGAGCGGGGAGGAAGAGAGAGAGAGAGAGAGAGAGAAAGAGAGAGAGAGAGAACTGTGGTCGACTTTGTCCCGTCCTCCTCCCTCATCCTCGTTCATCCATCCTCCGCTCTCCTTCCTCCTCGTCCTTAGTCCATCCCCTCTCCTCCTCCTTGCTCCATCCTCCATTCTCCTTTCATCCTCCTCGTCCTGCGCCATCCTCCGTCTCCATCCTCCTCCCTCCATCTCCTCGTCCTGCCCCCTCCTCCGCCTCCATCCTCCTCTCTCCATCGTCGTGATCCTCCGCCGTCCTCCTCCATCGTGAGCGGGAGCGCGCTGATAGTGCCTCATCCCAACGTATCGCGAGCTTCTCCCGACCGGCCCTATCCCTTCTCCCCTTGCCCTGCCTCCCTGCTTCGCGTCCCGTGCCGATTCTCATTCCTTCCACCATCCTCGCTCCTCCTTGCTCGTCCATTCTCCCTCCTCCATGCATCGTCGTCGTCCTCTTCGCTCCTCCTCCTTCCTCTACCTCCGTTCTCCATCCTTCTCCTTCCATCATCATCGTCGCCCTGCGTCTTCTCCTCCGTCCTCCTCCCCGCTCGTTGTCCATCATCCTCGGCGATTCCTCGTCCGTCATCGTTTTCCTCCATGGCATCCTCGTCACCGTTGCCGTTCTCGTCCTTGTCATGGTCACTGTCATCGTCTTCCACCCTCCCCTTTCTTGTCATCCTCCCCCCTTTCCACTCTTCCACCTCATCCTTCCCACCCGCTTCCTCGTCATCCTCGCTTTCCACCCTTCCACGTCACTTTTCCCTTTTCAGCCGCAAAGAGGGGCCGGTCAGCCGCAAAGATGATATCTCAAGGCTGTTGCCCTTTTGCGAAGGGACGAGGACACGAAAGGAGAAGGGGGAAGGGGAGAGGCGGGGTTCGGAACGAATATGATTAGGAATTAATGACCATGATGGGGATGACCATGCTCACAATGTTGATGCTGACGATGCCAATCACAATTACCTAATTACTATCAGAGTCACACACGAACCCTTGAACCTCTTAACATTACACCACTGAATTCCCAATCCATGGCCTGGTGTGCAGTAACAGTACCCATATCTACGAGTCGTTGTCTCCACATACGATTGTTTGTTGCGATTGCTTGTTAGCATTTCTACTTGCACTATACGAGAAGCAAATTGCTGTGAAAATAGAAAGAAGATCTTCGCTTAAACCCAAGGGTAAATCTTGTGCAACTCCACCTCTCTCTCTCTCTCTCTCTCCATTTGCGTGTACGGATTATGACGCTTTTAATGTCGTTGGCTCATATACACACATCTTGCCCACACACAACGAACATGGTAGTTGTAATGATTGTGAGATGATGCCTGGAGCCTTCACATGGATGAGCAGGAGAAGGAGCAGAAGGGCAGCAGTTGCTCTCACCACCGCTGAAATAGAGGCCTTGGGTGCAAGGTGTTTCCTTTTTTGTAAAGAAAAGAGAGAAAAAGGACGACGGCACTGGCTAGAAAGGTGGGCAGCGCAGCGTAATGACGAACGTGCACAGAAATGGGAGGAGGAGGATTGATGGAGAGTAGGACGACCACCATGAGCTGAGACGTGAAGCGAGTTGGGGGGAGGGGAAGTCATCTAGACTAAGTGCAACCGGTGCGTGTGAGAATCCGTGCGGCCACTTCATCATATATTCCAATCGGTGATGGAGAGGGTTGCCACGTCATGCTGCAGAAGTCGACAGCAAGAGATGAGAGAGAGAGAGAGAGAGAGAGAGAGAGAGAGAGAGAGAGAGAGAGAGACCAGTGGAGCGAGGCCCTACCGTCGACGCCCGACTAGACCCCACGGTCATTATTTCTGCATCGAGAAATGCAGTTACTCTTTTAACCCAAGCAAGTTCGCGAATCTGAAAAATACATTCGCGAAAATGTGTGGTTCCGATTTCGAGCTCCGATGCCGCATTTTCGCGTTCCTCGTCTGCATTCGGCTCAAGTGAAAGCGGATTTTATTATTATTATTATTATTATTATTATTATTAATGAAAACGGATTTTCAACTGCGCGGTGAAGATATTTTTTCAAATTGGCGGGGTGCAAGTTTCTTTTCTTTTCCTTTCTTTTCTTTTCGTTTTTTCACTTTAGCATCGTAAGCGCCCTATCGATTCAACAAAACATTTACCAACCAATTCAGGCGCGACTTGTCTGTATACCTACGGTTCGTTCGGCAAACACCTCACCAATAGGCAATAGGCTAATAAGCCGGCTGGCCCAATCACTTCTCAGAGCAACGAGAGAGATGTTTTTTTCCCCTATTTTCTCCTGACATGTTACACCAGCGAAGGTTGCAAAAAAACACGGAGAGAGAACTTCACGCTGACACAGTTCTCCCTCTCCCTTCACTGCTCAGAGGATATAAGAAAAAAAAAGTGATAAAAAGAAGAGTAATAGCAAGCAATAAAGATTTTTCACGATCCATTGGTACATCCCAGTGGCAATCTTCCAACTCCAGATTGTACTCCTTATTGAGCGAACGAAAAGTGCACAACAAGTTGAAGTGACGCCACCAGTCGTGCGCTGAACGTGTCAGTTTCTTTGTCAACCCCTTCCGTGAATCTACTGCGATGGAAGCAGAGAATGGGCCCAGAAGGGCCCGACCCCTTCCCTTCCATTCGCTGCTTCCATCGCAGCAGATTTTTTCACCATCGTGCGCTGAACGTGTCAGTGTCAGTTTACACCATCTCCGTGAATCTGCTGCGATGGAAGCAGAGAATGGGCCCCCATCATCGAACTCCGGAGTGTAGACACATTGAGCCCAAGAAAAGTTGGAAGTAAAGTGACGGCAGTCGTGCGTCGAACAAGTTTTTTTTTTTCTCAACGTACCGTGAATCTGCTGCAATGGAAATAGACAATGACCCCCCAACAAAAGCCTATTGTTGTTGTTGTTGTGTACATATACATCTGCGGTGCGGCTGTGCCTTTTTCTTGTGGATATCATCTCCCCCCAGTGTAAGCACGAGGAAGGATTTCAAGTGACACTTGCTTGAGTGTGGGCATGTCCTCCTGTGAATGCACACACACCAGTTCTTGATTTGCTGATTCACATAACACCTGCCAGGGACCTGGGTAAGCCCTGAACAGCTTGCCTCTGTATCGCCCCTTGAAATTGTGGAGGTAATAAGCCGTCTCGAACTTCGGAAGCAATGTCTTGCTGAGAGCGCTTAGTTTTGGGTAGAAGAATGGCGGATAGTACCCGCTGCGGATTCGATCCAGCTCCCCATTGAACACAATGACGGGTCTTTGTGTCCCCTCCGCTACATTGTCGTATAGATCTGCAACAGCCAGCATTTCATTCACATTGAAATGAGGATACGCCGCCACAAAGACTCGATCCGTCGCCTTCACTCTGTCGGCCATCTTCAGCTTTTGCCCTAGACCTATATCCTCAAGGGATGAAGGCTTAGTCAAGTAGTCCAGCTGGAATGGGGTGCCTCCAAACACGTCGGCCTGTGCGAAACGAACCTCGTTGGCATCCGGAAACAGCACTCGTGTGACAGCTGCTTGATCGGATCTTACAAACATGCGGCAAAACTCCCTAACGTAACGCATACTAGTCGTCATCTCAATTCCGCCCTCAGCATCGCCTGGCACGCTGTCAAGCCCAGCAGTGGGGAACTCGATCTCTAGCAGCAGCTTCCCATCGAGGAGAGCCCGTCGTGTGCTCTCCTGAACCTGCTGCAGAAGCTCGTCATAGTCCTCAGGGAAGGTAACAACGCTGATGTCATTCTCAAGGCTTGCTCTGGGAGCCCTCCGGGCAGTCGCAGTCGCCCATCCTCCCCCCACCCGCTCAAAACGACGCATTCCGCATGGCCGCGCGGGACGGTGCCACCTATCTCGAGCGCCGCCCTGGATGTGACACGTGTCGTCTTTCACCCCCCGCGGTAACCTGCAAACACCAACGACGTGCGGAGGGTGTCGAAATCCGCCGCCTTTTGTCGGCGCGCAGCGGCGGCTGCATGGCGCTCTCACCACCCTTCCCCGAGCAGCAGGTGCAAACGACGACAGACTCAGCTGCTGCGGTCTCCATTCCAATCCAGATCCTGGTCCCCTTAGACATCCCGGCTCTGCCGAGACTGCCGTCCGGCTTCGTCTTCCGCCCGCGCAGGGGGTAACGGCCACCTGCGCCTTCACACTTACGACGGCAGGCGTGTGCGGCATCATCATTGCGCGCCGAGCCGCGCCGCCGAGCGATGGTGGAATTTTTTTTCACGCTTTTTTGCCAAAACGCCCGGTCGCAAGCTTCGCAGAATCTGAGGGCGTAGTACTCACACTAGCACTATCTTAAATGCATCTGACAGAATTAACGGCCGCCATACCTGTATGCATCTGGCCGCAATTCCGTCCAGAAATGAGTCCAGCAGAAGTCCTAGCGTGAGTATACCCTGAGGAGGAGGTCTTCTTCGCTCGAGCTCATGAACTTCCCCGTCCTGCCCCGTCATGTTAGCCGCCAACCGACGCGCATCATCATCATGTTCGCGCATCATCATCATGTTCGCGCATCATCATCATCATCATCATGTTCGTCCCGACGCCGCGCGTCATGTAGTATCACAGCGCAAGCAAGTCCACATGCTGTACATGTTAGCCATCGCGTCATCACCTGCTGCTGAGTTTTGCGCCCTAGTGCAATCGCCTGCTGAGCTTCTGCCGTAGCCGCGCAATCGCCTGCTGAGCTTCTGCGGTAGCCGCGCAATTGCATGCTGATTTTTCCGCCATGGCCGCGCAATGGCATGCTGAGATTTCTTCCACAGCCATGGCCGCGCAATTGCATGCTGAGTTTTCTGCCATAGCCGCGCAATCGCTTAAGTGCTTCGGCTATAGCCTCGTCACCTACTGCACTGCACCGCACACTCCCTGAGCACCGAAGCATAATATTTTTCAATTCACCTAAATAAATGCAAGCTAACAAATGATTTATTTCGGGAAAAAAAATCACCCCCCAAAAGAAACAATTACACAAATACAATATATTCAACTCGGCTGTACAACTGTCAGCTCGCTTAGCTGTTGAAACAATTTCCCGAGGTAGCCCACTACGTGAAAAAAAAACGGGGGGGGAAAAAGGGCCCACTACCTTTCCCTTATTCCCAACATCTCATTGGTTTATCGTTTTTCGAAAGTAATACTGTAATTCATGCAGCAAAATTGCTAAATTCATTTTCGTCAAAACAGTTTCGTAGTGTCCGTGAAGTTGCTGGGTGAAAGGAGTAATGTCCGTGTGTTCTAATTCGGGGGAAGACGGCAGCATTGACTGACGGGAAGAAATCAAAATCAAGAAGCTTAATCTCACACACACACACACACACACACACACACACACACACACACACACACACACACACACACACACACACACGCACGCACGCACGCACGCACGCACGCACACACACACACACACACACAGATATTGCATTGATTGAAACATGTTCAATCGTTTGGAGTTAGATACGTCCCAGGCCAGAGAGAAATACCCACATACGTCACATAGTACCCCCTCCTTAAAAGCATTTACATTCATCTCTTTTCTTCTGTTTTTGGCTGATAGGTACTGTCTTCTGTACGGGGGGGGGGAGAGAGAGAGAGAGAGAGAGAGAGAGA